TTGGTGGCCATCTTGGGTCAGGCAGAGTCTATTAAAAACCTTGGCTCCCAGGCTTGGCTTGCATTTTGTGAGTGGATAGGTTAGAGACAGGTCACCCGTCTGTCAGGGAAAGGGACTAGTGGTAGGAAGAGGTTCCAGATGAGTAGGGACAGACTCGGGACACACCATCCTTCCTGGAATCCTCCCGCTTGGGTGCAGATCAACCAGACCTCATTGTGCCCTTTGGAACAGATGCTGTCAGCACGCTCCAGACCTGCTCAGTTCTATATTGGCCAGACATCCTGTGCCAGTCGGGTGCCTTCCTACTGGGTTGTCTGTATCGTTGAACCTTCTCTTCAATACAAGTTCTGCACTCTCCCACAAACACCATGCAGGAGACAGCTCTCCTGATTGGCACATCTTCAAATGGTGAAGGCACCCCAACAAGTGGAGATGTCCACTTTGTTCTTGATGAAGGGGAGAGCCCCTTTAATAAATAAGGGTCGCTGTCATTCACTGCTGACTTGAGACACGTTGCCATAATGATCTATGTGGAAACAGCTTCTGTTATTGGGAAATGTGTCCTGACACAATACACACGTGTAGGAACCGACCACATTACCGCGTGTTTGGAAACTGTCCCAGAGATGATGCAAGTCACTAACATCGACATGGACTATTTCAGCACTAGAAGGTTCAATTCACAAAGCGGAAGTGTCCTTATTTTTACTTGCTTGAGTCAAAGCATTTTGCAATTTTTCCTCATTTATACACAATATACCTTTTAACGTAACCTAAAATATTATAGATCTTTTCTTCTTTTTTTTTTTTTTAGGACAGACAGGGCTTTTATTTGGTAGCCAATTTAAATACACATATTTTTTATTTCCTTGGGCAATATTGGAAATAAATAGTAAAATCTTTTTTTAAATTCCGTAAAAAAATTTTCGCCATCACAACATTTACCTTATTTGCGGACACTTGTCCGTGTATTTGATCTAAAATTTAATCAACAAAGTCTGCCAATTAAAATGATAACACATTAGTGTGACTTTTATGTAACGTAGTGGAATGACAAACACTCAAAGTGAAAGTTATACATTTTATTTCAGGAGAGTTTTATTCCCCTTTCTGTTACAATGTGACACACGCAAGGGAAGAAAAAAAAATTGGTTTGCGATAAATTGTTAACGTAACATTTCAGAGGTGGAAGGAGAGAAGAATCTTTCACAATTTTGCTTTCTAGGAGATGGAGGGGAAAATGCATCAAAAAGCACCCTACAACATGGAGAGAGGCAACCACTGGGGCAGCACAGTGGCTAAATGGTTCGCACTTCCACCTGGCAGTACTCGGGTCGTTGGTTCAAATCCCAACCATGGCACCACCTGCCTGGAGTTTGCATCTTCTCCCTGTACCTGTGTGGGTTTCCTCCCACACTCCAAAGACATGCTGATAGGTTAATTGGCTCCTGTCGAAATTGTCCCTCGTATGTGTATGTATGAATGTGAGTTAGGGACCTTAGATTGTACACCCCTTGAGGGTTAGGGACTGATGTGAATTTACAATATATATATACAGTCAGGTCCATAAATATTGGGACATCAACACAATTCTAACATTTTTGGCTCTATACACCACCACAATGGATTTGAAATGAAACGAACAAGATGTGCTTTAACTGCAGACTGTCAGCTTTAATTTGAGAGTATTTACATCCAAATCAGGTGAACGGTATAGGAATTACAACAATTTGCATATGTGCCTCCCACTTGGTAAGGGACCAAAAGTAATGGGACAGAATAATAATCATACATCAAACTTTCACTTTTTAATACTTGGTTGCAAATCCTTTGCAGTCAATTACAGCCTGAAGTCTGGAACGCATAGACATCACCAGACGCTGGGTTTCATCCCTGGTGATGCTCTGCCAGGCCTTTACTGCAACTGTACTTCAGTTCCTGCTTGTTCTTGGGGCATTTTCCCTTCAGTTTTGTCTTCAGCAAGTGAAATGCATGCTCAATTGGATTCAGGTCAGGTGATTGACTTGGCCATTGCATAACATTCCACTTCTTTCCCTTAAACTCTTTGGTTGCTTTTGCAGTCTGCTTTGGGTCATTGTCCATCTGCACTGTGAAGTGGCCTCCAATGAGTTCTGAAGCATTTGGCTGAATATGAGCAGATAATATTGCCCGAAACACTTCACAATTCATCCTGCTGCTTTTGTCAGCAGTCACATCAATAAATACAAGAGAACCAGTTCCATTGGCAGCCATACATGCCCACGCCATGACACTACCACCACCATGCTTCACTGATGAGGTGGTATGCTTAGGATCATGAGCAGTTCCTTTCCTTCTCCATACTCTTCTCTTCCCATCACTCTGGTACAAGTTGATCTCGGTCTCATCTGTCCATAGGATGTTGTTCCAGAACTGTGAAGGCTTTTTTAGATGTCGTTTGGCAAACTCTAATCTGGCCTTCCTGTTTTTGAGGCTCACCAATGGTTTCCATCTTGTGGTGAACCCTCTGTATTCACTCTGGTGAAGTCTTCTCTTGATTGTTGACTTTGACACACATACACCTACCTCCTGGAGAGTGTTCTTGATCTGGCCAACTGTTGTGAAGGGTGTTTTCTTCACCAGGGAAAGAATTCTTCGGTCATCCACCACAGTTGTTTTCCGTGGTCTTCCGGGTCTTTTGGTGTTGCTGAGCTCACCGGTGCTTTCCTTCTTTTTAAGAATGTTCCAAACAGTTGTTTTGGCCACGCCTAATCTTTTTGCTATCTCTCTGATGGGTTTGTATTGTTTTTTCAGCCTAATGATGGCTTGCTTCACTGATAGTGACAGCTCTTTGGATCTCATCTTGAGAGTTGACAGCAACAGATTCCAAATGCAAATAGCACACTTGAAATGAACTCTGGACCTTTTATCTGCTCATTGTAATTGGGATAATGAGGGAATAACACACCCCTGGCCATGGAACAGCTGAGAAGCCAATTGTCCCATTACTTCTGGTCCCTTAACAAGTGGGAGGCACATATGCAAACTGTTGTAATTCCTACACCGTTCACCTGATTTGGATGTAAATACCCTGAAATTAAAGCTGACAGTCTGCAGTTAAAGCACATCTTGTTCGTTTCATTTCAAATCCATTGTGGTGGTGTATAGAGCCAAAAATTTTAGAATTGTGTTGATGTCCCAATATTTATGGACCTGACTGTATTATATATATATATATATAAATAAAAGCACTGTGTAAATTGACGGTGCTATACAAGTACAGTGGATATAAAAAGTCTAAACAAAATCATTGAAACTCTACTATATATGTACTGACATATATATTATTATTACCAGTTATATATTAATAAAATATATATTTTATCTTAAACTGTCTGTACTCACTTGCATCATTAGGGTCACCATGCATGTTACAATCTGACCACATAATATTTGTACAATCAACTTTTGATTTACCAAAATTTAGTAAAATGATGAGCTACCAATGAGGCAGGCCCTCACATTACATTGGAAGATCTTTGGCCCGTTCCCAAATTGTGTAGTGGAATTTCTGGTGATTTCTGTGGCATGATTTTCATGCAATTCTTCATGTCGTGCATAGGGCATCCCATGCAGCTCAATGGGTTGCCTTATGCACGTTTGTCTCCCAAAAGAAGCTCCTGTTCCTTTTTGGGCAACAATTGCCATGTGACAATGTGCCACTAAACTGTTACTAAACCCCGGACCCCGCATTCACTATATCTGCTCTCCCTGGACCCTGCATTCACTATATCCGGTCTCCCAGGACTCTGCATTCACTATATCCGGTCTCCCCGGACCCTGCATTCACTATATCCGGTCTCCCCGGACCCTGCATTCACTATATCTGGTCTCCCAGGACCCTGCATTCACTATGTCCGGTCTCCCCGGACCCTGCATTCACTATATCTGGTCTCCCCGAACCCTGCATTCACTATATCTGGTCTCCCCGGACCCTGCATTCACTATATCTGGTCTCCCACAGTACACACAACATGGAAATGCAATTATTTTATTAAATATAAACTGCTAAATACCTTTTCTCATCAGCAGTATATAGCAGTCTTTTGACTTCTATCTGTGTCCAGCTGAGCACTGGTTAAAGCTTGCAGGAGGAGTTCTCTTTCTGGTATGACTGACCTATGAGGCTGCAGAACCCCTGACCCTCTATTTGAACAGCACTGATTGGCCCTGTGCTGATCACATGTACCCTCCCAAAGTGAAAATACACACTAAACTGAACATGTGCAGAGTGACTCCTAGAGCTCTGTACTATCAGCAGATGGAGTGGGGACAGTAGAAGAAGGGGAGGATCAGAGAAGTCAGGATCAAACAGCCTTTTTACACAATGCAGAGGATTAACCCCTTAGGTTCCACAGTGAGTATAACAAGCATGCTTTACTGCATATACAGACTGATTGTACTGTTGTGGGTTTAGTAACACTTTAAGAATAATAGCATTCAAATGCAGATCTTTGGAATCATGGATGAAATCAATGCATTTCTGCCTGCAATTCCAAATCAAGATGGTCAATCTTCTTATAAATCTCATAAATCATGCAATGTGGCCAGGGCCTAAAAGAGATTGTACAGGCAGACTGCAATGTGTTTGGAGAGCTTAAAAGTCCCACTAAAATCATTGTAAGCGTTTCTGCACTGCATGATTTTGTACCCTGCCTGCCCCCCTATACAACCCCCCCCCCCCCCCCGGGTACTTCCCATACTACCATACACACATATAAATTGTACTTAGAAGAAAGGCTGGAGGCTGTAATGAGCTGCACTGTGCACACCAGGCAGTTACAGTCCAGTTATAATGTTGATTCTGTACAGTGACATCCACTGAAAATGGGAGAAGTGGGCGGGGCAAGGACACCACACAATGAAGAACTATGAAAAGTGGAAAAGAAAGGTGATTTATTGAAATGGAAGAAATTAAACCGAAAAATGTGACTAAGGTGACCCTGGGGCGCCTGACTTACCTTCCGTGCACATGCAGTCGTCGTAGCACTTGTTGTTCAGGCCGCGGTTGTGCGGTTTGCAGATGTGCTCCCGCAAGTCACAGCACGATCCTGAAAAATAAAACGATGACAAACACTGTCAGTATAATGTATGTATTACAGCACAGACTGGGAGCACGGACAGTTCACTCTGCAATGACTTAAAGTGGTTGTAAACTTCAGACGTGGGATATGAACAAAGCATATCTGTTTATAGTGTGTACTTGTTTCAATTAGGAGCACTAAGTGTCATTTCTGTCTGCTGCATTATCACTCTATCAGCAGAGGAGTCATTTCTGACATGTTTTCCTGACACCAAGAAGTAAAAAGGTGACAGGGGAAGGAGCTCCAGCACACAGGCTGTGATTGACACACTCAGCTCTGTTCTTGTGTGCTTTGTGTAAGGTATGTCCCTTCCCTCCAATCAGCTCTCAGAGCTCTCCTCACTGAGCTCTGCAGTGTGTAATTTCAGCTCTCTGCCCCCTGCTTTCTGGAAACTCAAACAAGCTTTATAAATTCAGCACTTTGATTGTATTTAGAGAAGAGAAAACTGGGATGATTTGTTTCCTCCCTATCACCTGAGGCCAGTTTTCAAACCACTTTACATAGGCCATACATTGGCAGAAATGTAAATTTTTTTAAACATTTGTTCAATGGTTACTGGGGTAAATTTGATGATCATTTTTCACTGTAGTGGTGAGAAAATTTAAAGGAGCAAAATAATTACTGGGAATGTGATTTTCCTGTTGAAAAAAAAAAGATTGCACGAATTGTTATGAAATCTGTTTAATCACAGCCGAATGATGGCTACTGAGTGGTAGTCCAGTTCTGGGAGGGCATCATGACGTCCTCCCAGCTGACACAGCTGATCACATGACATGGTAAAAGGCCAATCAGAGCGGCATTTTGCCACGTGATCAGCTGTGTCCAAACACAGTTGACCACTATGAAAATACACTTGCCGGTTATTGGCAGTACTTTCCTCACACTGTCACAGCGTGAGGAAGGTACTGCCGGTTACCGGCAACTGTCAAAGCAGACATCTGCACTGATAATCAGTACCCCGATTATCAGTGCAGCTCCAAAAGTGCCCAACAGTGTTGCCCATCAGTGCTGCCCAGCAGTGTCCAGCAGTGCTGCCCAGCAGTTTCCCAACAGTGCTGCCCATCAGTGTCCAACAGTGCTGCTCAGCAGTGCCACCAATCTGTGCCCGTCAGTGACACCTATTAGTGCCGCCAGTCAGTGGCATCAGTCAGTGCTGCCAGTCAGTACCGGCAGTCAGTGCTACCTATTAGTGCCTCCTATCAGTGCCCATCATTGCCACCTATCAGTGCCCATCAGTGTTGCATATCAGTGCAGCATCATCAGTACCTCCTCATCAATACCCACCAGTGCTGCCTTATCAGTGCAGACTATCAGTGCCCATCAAAAGATCCCAAGGCCCAGAGGAAAGTGATCCATCACTGACTCCTACCGCAACCTACTTACTAAGGAGACTCCTAAGACGCCATCCTACTACCTAACCCCAGGGAAGAGTCTACATATTCCATGCAAATGAATAATATTCCAAGGGGCCAGTTTTTGAGACTTAGAAGGAACTGTACTAACCTATCGGATTATCGTGATCAGGCGGGAGTGCTTAGAACTAGATTCACTGAAAAAGGATATGATTCAAAAAATCTGGATCGGATTATTCAGGAAGTAGGGCTTCTTGACAGGACAGGGCTGCTCACTATGGCAAAAACGGTGAGACCTGAGAAATTTTGCCCTTTTATTACGAACTTTTCGATTCAGTATAAGGAGGTCTCTAAGATCATTAGAAAAAATTGGCCTATCCTGAAAGGTGATCCAGTATTGGGGGAAGCTCTTCCAGAGCAGCCTGAAATTACGTTTAGAAAAGCACCCCCACTCAGTCTCTCTATAGCCCCTAATGTTGTGGACCCACCTACGAGCATGTCCTCAGCATTTGGGCTGAAGGGTTTCTATCCTTGCAATAGGTGTGTTGCCTGCAGGTTTAATGGTATATACAAAACTAGAGTGAAGGATTTTGAATCTAGTGTCACTGGAAAGAAATATACAATAAACCCAATGATCACATGTAATACAACACATACGGTGTATCTCCTACAATGCTCTTGCAATTACCAATATGTAGGTAGAACAACGAGGCGTTTGAGGGATCGTCTTAGAGAGCATTATAACAATATTAAAAAAGGATTCAAAGACCATTCATTGTCTAAACATTTTTGAGACCACCATGCTATGGATCCCTCAACTTTGAGATTCACTGCAATTGATAGGATTGCGCAACGTTGGAGGGGTGGGCATAAGCGGAGAGCGGTGTCTCAACTCGAGACTAAATGGATAGTGGAACTTAGATCTTTGCAACCGCAGGGCCTCAATGTGGAATTAGACATCAACTGTTTCATTGACAATAGCTAACTGTATTATTTATAAACTCTTTTTGATTATCCACTATATTTAAAAATTGGGGTTTTATTAATATAGAGTTCCGTCTTTCAGTGTGTTCTATATAATTTTAAATGTATTTTTAATATATTGACATGCTAATATTGATTTATTCTTATGTGCCACACTTTTGGTTTTAAATAAGAAGGGGTTGGTTTATTTTTAGTTTTTATAAATTTTTATATCTCATCAGATTTAGGTCCCTTTAGATTTTATGCAATATTTTATGTGATCTTAAGGGACATGTGAATTTCTATAATTTTACGGTACATATAATCATTGTACATATTGTTGTTTTTTTATCTACCTATGAATTTTCCGTATTTGTACTAGTAATAAGTTGTGCACGGTTATTGTTAGTTGATCATGCTGCATTATTAATTTCATGTACATACATTGTTTTATTTACTTATAATTGAGTTGAGCAATGCAGGGTATCCTATATATAATGATCATATGGGCTACAACAATATGGAGTTCTTGGGGTTGTATGGGGTTAACATGATGTATTTACCCAATGAACTTCTGTTTGTCTCCCAGCTCTATATTAGTGAATGGGGCTGTGATAGTTCTTTTTAAACACAGCGGATGGCGTTCCCGCGCATGCGCATTAGGTGCCGTCGTGGTTGGCGGGTGACGTCATGCGCGCTGGCTCGTAGTGACGCGCGGCGCTGAATGCGCATGCGCGATCACGTTTATTTTAGCAGGCGTCCTGGGTCATGAGTCACCCCTTTGATAACGAGCGTGTTCAGCTCGAAACATGTTAGGGGACTCGCCCAGCTGACGCCATTATACACCAGGGAGCCCTAGATCACCAGGGAGGTTGACATCTGACCTGGCTCTTTCAAGCTTCGCTGTATTTGCATATGTGAGTTTTTTACCTTCTTTTGGAAATTTCTAATAAAGACATACTTCACCATCATACCATTTTTTGCTTTATGACTCATTCATTTGCGAGTCATGAAAGGTGGACCACCATAGGAGAAGTATATACTGTGAGGCTGGACGCCGTTGGACCTATCAAATGAGCTGGATGGGATCCCAGAGTGTGTGCTGACATCTCCTGAGCCTCCTCCCTAGTGACCGGATGTTGTCTGCAGTGTGAACCAGGCTCTTCTGCCCACTGATGTTACACCAGAGTATATGCATACAACGCCTTGTTTGTATGCCCTTGTGGTAAGCGCATAATTTTGTTGGTTTCTTCAGGATTGCATACTGATGCCTTGCTGTTATGAACATTTTTTCACTCTAACTGATTTGGTTTAATTACCGTATCTGGAACCTGAACAGGTTACTAGCATCATCATTTCATCTATACGGAACTATTGGGAACTTAGTTTTCTTTATATTTTCTGTCTAGCGCTGCATACCCTGTTTGTATGTGATTTTTAGTTTCAAGGTGTTGAGATTTACCTTGTATGCCAGCTGCTGTGTTGTGGCTTTTCCCATTTCATTTTGCGCTTACTTACCCTATTGTTATTTGTACATATTCCATGCGTCATCTTTTCCAGGATAAGAGGGAACCTCTGGTATACTTGATGAGATTATTGCGCATATAAATTGCGCATCTGGTGAGTGCGCAATTTTATTATTCTTTGCACATCACTGAAACGTATGCCTACCGGGATTACTATAGTCATCACCTAGAGTCACTACCTTGATTATACCTCTCCACCAATAATTGAACTTATATTATATAATTGGACATTTTATCTGGTGCACCTATAAAGTTTATTATTTTTAGCTTTAGGTGGTTATATCTATTCATATATTTAGCGCTGCACTTTTATTGTTATATCAGTGCCCATCAGTGCTGCCTATCAGTGCAGCCTCATTAATGCACATCAGTGAAGGAGAAAAATGACCTGTTTGCAAAATTGTATAACAGAAACCAAAAAAAAAAAATTTTTTTTCAAAATGTTTGCTCTTTTTTCATTGATAGTGTAAAAAATAAAAAACACCCAGTGGTGATTAAATACCACCAAAAGAAAACTCTTGTTGTGTGAAAAAAATGATAAAAATGTCATATGTTTAGTGTTGCATGACTGCGCAATTGTCATTCACAGTGCGACAGTGCTACAAGCTGAAAATTGACCTGGGCTGGAAGGGAGTAAAAATGCCCAGTAGGCAGGTGGTTAATACATCTGGGATTCCTTTCCAATAGCAGGTCTCGAGAAAGAATATTCCAAAGAACATTTTTTTCCATAAAGGTTCAAACGAAAATCTAACTGTGTATGACCAGCTTTACTCTTGCCGTACACTTGGTAATTGTACTCTAAGGTTGAAGGTTCCCATCAGCTCTCAACAACAAGAATCTGAGAAATATTGCTGGAAATGGTACAGAAATCAATAGAAGACATCTCTGGGATAGTGTTGAAGTTGCCCAATTTGACTGCAGTTCCAATTATTTGACCCAAATCTGAAAATCAGTTGAACCCATTAGTGGCAGATCAATGTGACCGATAATTGTTCAGAACATTTTGGAAATTTTTAACAATATTTCCGAGTACATTGCTAGAATAGTGCACAATGGACGTTTTTACAGCGGCTGTTTTTGGCTTTTGATATTTTTTCTACAGCCAGTAAACCCCCAGCATGTTATCCTATGTGTTCATGCACACATAGACTGTAATCAGCGTTTTTTGGAAGGGGTGTTTTTTGGTTGGAAAAAATCCAGAACTAGTGGGTTTCTAGAGTTTTTTAGCTGTAAAGGTTCTAATGCTGAAAAATGCAGCAAGACACGGTAAATCACGGCAAACTGGCATTTTGGGACTTTTTTGAGCAAAAAAAAAAAATTTTTTTTGGTAAAAAAAAGAGACTAAAAAACGCAGCTAAACACTAATGCAAAAAGGCTAAAAAATGTTGAAAAACTCACGTTTTTATCATGACTTTACACAGCTAATGTTACCACGTTATTAACACCTTCCTGCCTGACCTATAGCAGATTGACGGCGGGGCGGGACACTCGGCGTTGTGACTGGGCGTCAAATGACTAATCACAGCAGATCACATGACAATTATATAAAATGGATGGCTTCCCTTCATGCAATCCATTGTATACAATTATGTTGTTAGCTGTGACTGGTCAAGGCAGTCACATGATATAGACAGGGCCAATCACAGCCCATCTGTATCATGTGATCAGCTTTGCCCAATCACAGCTAATCACAAAAAAAGACTGAATGAATCAGTTTCATTCAGTAACAATGATTGCAAATATCAATGAAATACATTGATATTAGCAATCATAATGTGTAAAAAAAAAAATCCTGATCACTTGCCCAGAGTAGTTCAATGTTACTATGGTAACATTGTATTGCTTTGGTCACAGTGTGCTGAAAAATAAAATAGTAAAAAAAAAAAAAAAAAAAAAAAAATAATAATAGAAACATTTGAAAAAAAATACAAATTCAATTATTATTATTATTTTCACCAAAGAAATGTAGCAGAATACATGTTGACCTAAATTTATGAAGAAATGTTATTTATTTGCAAGCTTTTATAACAGAAACAAAGAAAAATGCATTTTTTTCAAAAGTTTCAGGTGTTTTATTTATCAAGAAAAAAAAACCCTCAGTGGTGATTAAATACCGCCAAAAGAAAGCTCTATTTGTTTGAAAAAAAATGATAAAAATGTCTTATGGGTATAGTGTTGCATGACCGTGCAATTGTCAAAGTGCAACAGCTCTGAAAGCTGATAATTGGCCTGGGCAGGAAGGGGGTAGAAGTGCCCGGTATTGAAGTGGTTAAAATGCCCCGTGTGCATGGAGCCTTAGGGCTTGTAGACATGGGAAGTGAGATAGGTGGCACCAGCAGAGAGATACATGGAGGAACCTTCCAACCCATTTCCAGAACTGCCTTCCAGATCCTTCAAAAATGTGACATCAAGAAACTGAAACTGACATCAGCAGCAGAATGTAAACTTTAAACTGAAGTGAAAAAAAAAATCACAATCAGTCCTTTACCATGAGGCTTCCTGTAGATTATGCAATTTTCTTTCCTTCAACCACAGGTTGAAAGTAAGAAAATCACCAGATTTCCCCATCAACACTTTATAAGTGTTAATGGGGCAATCCCTTCTGCGGAGCTTTTGTATTCTGACAGCAGGAGACAGGGGGGGACTGACAACTCATGGGGCCCCCGGGCAATAGTGGATCATGGGGCCCCTGTGTCCTTGCCTAAACTCAAAAAAGCCTATGAATAAGGTACCAGGGGCATCTCATGGGGCATCTCTGAGATCTCCTAAATAGATCCAGGAAGATTGTCCTTAGTTGTTAATTCATTGGGCATCCTATACCCCCCCCCCCCCCCCCCCTTACCCTATCTTAGTTCTAAATTCCCTTAATACACCTGAAAAACAAAGCTCAAGGACTGATTTCTGACTCTGCATCAAACTTGTGTGGATAATGCAGATTTACTGGCTGAGCAGGACTATAAGGGGATCCAAATCCTTAGCAACCCCCAAGAGGGTAGTGCTACATGTGTCTTGTTTAGCTACAACATGCCTAGAGAAAGCTCCGGTCACACACAGGTTCCATATGCCCCTGACAACTCTGAAAGAATCGTTTTTTTATAAAATTGCTTTGGATTTAAATCATGTAGTCAGTTTACAGATCAACAATTGCTAGTAGAGTTCCTTAACTGCTTGCCTGCCGCCCTATAGCAGACATACTGCTACAGGACGGCACGGCTGCGCAAAATCATGTATATACAGTGAAGGAAATAAGTGTTTGATCCCCTGCTGATTTTGAATGTTTGCCCACTCACAAAGAAATGAGCAGTCATTGCAAGATTGACAGTTACAAGCATGACTCCCAAAGGCAGAGGCATGATGGGACTTGTAGTTTTGCAACAGCTGGAGGGCCACCAGTTTGACACCCCTGTATTATAGCAATGTACACCAATGTAGGAGTGCACTTTACCTGGGAGGCAGTCCAGATGGTGATCGCATGGCTCTTCCTCAGCCAATGTAGTGGCATTCAGCTTTTCTTTTTGTTTACCTGTTAAACAAGGTAACAGTCAGAAATGACGCATTGCATATATAGGCAGGCAACGGCATACTGAGCATTAACCAATTAGGGACCAAGTCTCACTGATCTGGCTAGTGCAACCTGAACCCTGATTGGCTGCCAGATCTGGAGTTGATGAGGCTGATTTAATAAAGTCATTGGGAATATTTGCACAATAAATATTCACTTTAACTATCAGCCATCCAACAACGCAGGGAGCAAGGAGGCGGCACTTTTTTCTATCTCCAAGCACTTGGTGGAGACCAGTCACCCTGCACAAGGAGAGAGAGCATCAGTGACCGGTCTTTTATTACAGGAAGCTCTGGCACAGGGGTAAAGGGGTTGATTTACTAAAACTGAAGAGTGCAAAATTTGGTGCAGCTGTGCATGGTAGCCAATCAGCTTCTAATTTCAGCTCACTTGCTCAATTAGGCTTTGACAATAACACCCTGGTCACATTGGGTACGACTTGGCATGTGATTTGCATGCCATGCGACCTGCAAATCGTATGCCAAGTCGCACCCTATTGTCCGCAACTAGAGTCGTCAAATCGGTGCGGTTGGTCGGAGCCGAACCAATTTCTAAAGTAGTACAAGTACTACTTTTGGTGCGATTTGCATAGACATCTGTGTCAGTTGTCTTGCAAATCGCACCTGAAATTGGCATCTCACCCAACTTCACTGTAAGTCGCACAATTTCAAAGTCAGGCCTGATGTGACTGGGGTGGTTAAACCTGGAAGCTGATTGGTTTCTATGCAGAGCTGCACCAGATTTTGCGCTCTCCAGTTTTAGTAAATCAACCCCGAAGTCACCTGGATTACTACACAAAGCACACCAAGTTTCAAGGAAAAACATAATTTTTTTTTTGTTTGGACAGAGCTTGCTTTTTGCAGAGTTCAACTTTCATCTAACTTTTCATTTGTTAGATTTGATTGAAATATTTTAAAAATCTGTGTAATTGAATAGGAAGATCCATTGTTACAGTATATGGCAAGCAATAGACAGGAGGAGGCAGTTTCTATCACTGGTGGTATACAGGTAATTACAGCTCGTGTTTCTCTTTCTTCTCTCTCTCTCCCCCATTAATTACCTTTTTTTGGTGATGGCCAGGTGTCCGGCTTCAGATCTTCGTAATCTGTCCAGTCAAACAGGGTCATATCCAGGGTTGGCATCACCTCCCCTCCCTTCTTCCCAGACTGCAAAGCATCAAATGAAGCACAATGTCAGGGACTGAAAAGACATTTCTGTGGACTGTTTCTAATTTTCATGAGATTCTAGAAGAGCATGCCATATATACTGCTGCATGCCATACAACTGGGCAGCACAGTGCTGATTTAAGCCCCCAGAAATGTGACACCTTAGAACACAGGTGTGGATTTAACCAGGGGCGGACTGACAACTCATGGGGCCCCCGGGCAATAGGGGATCATGGGGCCCCTGTGTCCTTGCCCAAACTCAAAAAAGCCTATGAAAAAAGTACCAGGGGCATCTCATGGGGCCCCCTACTGACCCTGGGCCCTCGGGTAGTGCCCGAGTTTCCAAATGGTCAGTCTGCCCCTGGTTTTAACCAAATACCTCGGAGCAGTCTCGGATTCTGCGGGGACTGTCCCAGGATTTTAACAAAATCACAAAATCTTGCAGATCTGAACTGTGACCTGCTGCTGGTTGGGTACTGCCATGTTCCCCAGTGAGATCTATGCCAGTGTCCCCCCCCCAGTGAGATCTATGAATCCAACTGTACACCAATGTTCCCCACTGACACCAATGATCCCTGCTGATAACAATGACCCCCCACTGACACCAATATATACCCCCCCATCCTTGGCACAAATTACACCCAATGAACACTAATATCCCTCACTAACAACAATTACCCCCATTGAATACCAGTGTTCCCCAATGCCACCAATGAACCCCACTGAAACCAATGACCCCCCACTGACAACAATGTCCCCCACTGATACTATGTCCCCCGCTGACACCAATGACCCAAGCTGTACACCAATGTTCCCCACTGACACCAATGATCCCTGCTGGTTATTATTATATTACAGGATTTATATAGCGTCGACAGTTTGCTCAGCACTTTACATTATGGTGGGAGACAGTACAGTAACAAAACAATTCAATACAAGAGGGATTAGAGGGCTCTGCTCCTTGGAGCTTACAATCTAGGAGGGAGGGGATAGTGGTACAAGAGGTAATAACTGTGGGGGATGGAGTGGTTGGAAGAGTAGAGGATTCTAGTATTAGCTGAGGGCAGGATAGCCTTCCCTGCAGAGATAGGTTTTCAGAGTGCACCTAAAAGTGAGCAGAGTAGGCGATAGTCTGATAGATCGGGGTAGGGAGTTCCAGAGGATGGGGGAGGCCCTGGAGAAGTCCTGGAGATGAGCATGGGAGGAGGAGACAAGGGAGCTAGAGAGTAGGAGGTCTTGCGAGGAGCGGAGAGTACGGTTTGGGTGATATTTTGAGACAAGATCGGTGATGTAATTTGGGGCAGTGTTGTGGATGGCTTTATACGTCGGTGTTTAGCATTTTGAATTTTATCCGTTGGGCAATGGGAAGCCAGTGGAGGGATTGGCAGAGAGGGGTGGCTGATACAGAACAGTTAGTAAGGTGGATGAGTCTGGAAGCAGCATTCATGATAGACTGAAGTGGGGATAGCCTGCGGTGAGGTAGGCCAGTGAGGAGGGAGTTACAGTAGTCGAGGCGTGATATAATAAGGGAGTGAATGAATTGCTTAGTGGTTTCCGAGGTTAGGAACGGACGTATTTTGGAGATGTTGCGGAGGTGAAGTCTAAATGAGTTTGTCAGCGATTGGACCTGGGGCTGATAACAATGACCCCCCCACTGACACCAATATACCCCCCCCTTGGCCCAAATGACACCCAATGAACACTAATATCCCCCACTAACAACAATTACCCCCATTGAATACCAGTGTTCCCCAATGACACCAATGGACCCCACTGAAACCAATGACCCCCCCACTGACAACAATGTCCCCCGCTGACACCAATGACCCAAGCAATACACCAATTTCCCCACTGACACCAATGACCCCCGCTGAACATTAATGTTTTCCAATGACATCTATTGATACCAGTGACCCCCAATGTCATCAATGTCCTCCACTGACACCTATCATCAATGACCCAATCTGAACATCAATGTCCCCCACTGACACAAATGTCCTCCACTAACACCAATGACCTCCCACTGACACCAATGCCCTCCGCTGACACCAGTGACCCCCACTGAAAACCAATGACCCAACTTTAACACCAGTGTCTCCCACTGACACCAATGTCCTCCACTGAAACCAATGTCTTCCGCTAACACCAATGACCCCACTGACACCAGTGCCCCAACCTGAACACCAATTTTACCCCACTGACACCAATAATCTCCACTGACACCAATGACCTCCACCAAACATTAGTGTTTTCCAATGACACCTATTGATACCAGTGAACCCCCATTGACAGCATTCTCCCCTACTGACACCTATCACCAATGACCCAACCTGAATATCAATGTCCCCCACTGACACAAATGTCCTCCACTACCACTGACACCAATGTCCTCCACTGACACCTACTGTATGTCCCCCACTGACACCAATGACCCAACCTTAACAGTGTCCCCGACATCAAGGTCCTCTACTGACGCCAATGTCTCCCACTAACACTAATGATCCCATTGACAACAATGACCCTTACTGACAGCAAGGTCCCTTACTAACACCAATGACCCCCACTGATAACAATGACCCCCAGTGAACACCAATGTCCCCGCTTTGACATCATAGACCCCCAATGAACACATAAGCCCCCTTCCTCCCCCACAGGGCATCGGTGACTTCCCTTTCCCTCCACAGAGCAAGGCTGGGCACACAAGAAGCGGGCTGAATGATGCTGGCTGTCATTCAACCTGGAAGAAGTGACAAGGTGGAGTGCAGGATCATGGAGAGGGTTAGGTACCAATTGGCCACATTTCATATTTTATTATAGGAGGGGATCCTAGAACTAAAACAAACAAGAAATGATAGGAGCCCTGATTTAATATAATCAGCTGTAGGTCTCCATTACTCTGCCTCTTGGCTGCACATTCAAAAACATTTTTCCTTCCTGTTAAATAAGTCACCATCATTCTCCTAAATATTTTAGCTCTCTTTTGAGACAGATGGCATTGTGGGAGATCGCATGCTGCATCCCGAGCCTCACCATCCGCCGCTAAGAACAAAAGACCTTTATTATATATCCAAGACATCAGCTCCACACTGATTTTTGCCTGGAGAAACTTTTTCAATATTAATCCGCCTGCTTTCCACTAGCTTATCGTCTCTGCCAGAATATTGTTAATGAGCCTACGATGGAGTCAGAGGGACCCTATGCCATGCCGAACAACGATAGAGCACCGGGCATGCTAGATCGCATCAATATTAGCAAACCTGTGAAATAAAGTGCAATTATTATTCAAGACTTAAAGAAATTATTCTCACCTTAGCACGGCGAGGGGCTTCCACCATGGCTGTGGGCTGCTCATTAATAAACATGGGCTCGGCTGTGCCTAACGAAGGCCGGGTGGCTGAAGAGGCACTGGAGGACATCTCCACATGGGTGGAACGAGTGGGCTCGCGGAGGCTTAAATCTTCCTTCAAAAGGCCGCTGGGCTCAGCTTCAAAGGCTCTTGCTGGAAATACAGACGAGCGGATTAAAGAGTTTCACCCCTTGCAGACATCCCCCCGACCACCTGCAAAGTCTCTGACTTTTATGAGGGTCTTCTAATATTGTGTGCCTTGAGTTACGAAAAGGCATCGTGAAAGGAATCCAGTTCATTCTTATGGTTTGGTCAATGAGTGCAAAGCTACACCAGTAGCATCTATCAACCTAGAGGAACGCAAGGTTTAGCAGTATCATCTACCAATCTACAGGAATGCAGAGTTCACCAATAGCATCTACCAACCTACAGGGACGTAGAGTTCACCAGTAGAATCTACCAACCTACAGCAACGCAGTCACCTGTAGCACCTACCAACCTACAGGAACGTGGTTTAGCAGTAGCATCTACCAACCTAAATGAATGCAGAGTTCACCAGTAGTATCTACCAACCTACAGGAATGCAGAGTTCACCAGTAGCACCTACCAACCTACAGGAATGAAAAGTTCACCAGTTGCATCTACCAACCTACAGGAACGCAGTTTAGCAGTAGCATCTACCAACCTACAGGAACGCAGAGTTCACCAGTAGCATCTAGTAACTGACAGGAACACAGAGTTCACCAGCAGCATCTACCAACCTACAGGAATGTAGAGTTTAGCAGTAGCATCTACCAACCTACAGGAATGCAGAGTTCACCAGTAGCATCTACCAACCTACAGGAATGCAGAGCTCACCAGTAGCATCTACCAACCTACAGGAATTCAGAGTTCACCAGTAGCATCTACCAACCTACAGGAATGCAGAGCTCACCAGTAGCATCTACCAACCTACAGAATGCAGAGTTCACCAGTAGCACCTACCAACCTACAGGAATGCAGAGTTCACCAGTAGCACCTACCAACCTACAGGAATGCAGAGTTCACCAGTAGCACCTACCAACCTACAGGAACGCAGTTTAGCAGTAGCATCTACCAACCTAAAGGAATGCAGAGTTCACCAGTAGCACCTACCAAACCTACAGGAATGTAGAGTTTACCAGTAGCATCTACCAACCTAAAGGAACACAGAGTTCACCAGTAGCACCTACCAACCTACAGGAAACGCAGAGTTCACCAGTAGCATCTACCAACCTAAAGGAACACAGAGTTCACCAGTAGCACCTACCAACCTACAGGGATGTAGAGTTTACCAGTAGCACCTACCAACCTACAGGAACACAGCATTCAATGTCCAATGTAGCACCAGTAGCACCTACCAATGGTTATTTAAAGTGTTTGTAAACCCTTACATATACCCATTGAAGGGACTATCCTCAGGTGACACATGGAGATGAAATGAATCATCCTACATAAGTTATTCCTGTCTATCTGTAGTCTTCTGAGATGGGAACAAGGGACACTCAGGGGCGGACTGACCATTTGGAAACTCGGGCACTGCCCAAGGGCCCCAGGTCAGTAGGGGGCCCCATGAGATGCCCCTGGTACCTTTTTCATAGGCTTTTTTGAGTTTGGGCAAGGACACAGGGGCCCCAGGATCCCCTATTGCCTGGGGGCCCATCAGTTGTCAGTCCGCCCCTGGAGACACCTATTACCAAAAATAAGTAGGCATAGGACATACCCCCTGCCACACTCCCTTAAAGGAGAATTGTACAAAAATAATAATAGGTTAAATTGACAAGTGCATTTTACCTCTACTATTCCTTTATACTGGCTTTTGAAGTTTACAAATGCAACATTTTAGAAATTGGATGAAAAGTTTAACACTGTGAGACACTTTTTGATAGCCAAGTAGTGCATTTTATATAGAACTATACAGATCAGACCAAAATGAGGGACAAATGAGGAGGAAGGAGGGATAGAGGGACTTTGTTCCAAATCAGAGACAGTCTCTCGAAATCAGGGACAGTTGGAAGCTATGCTGTCAACCTCATGGCAAGGGCAGAAGAGTGCTGGCCTCTCTGGTGGTCCTAGCAACCAATAACCCACTAGTTATCAGGAAAAGTTGGAAAGCTCATGCCCTCCTTTCTGACCTGCCACCCCTTGGCCTGCTGTGTAAGGTATACATGGGTGTAATGTAAAGGGGGTGCTGTTATTTAAAGCGAGACTGTAATGTAAAGTTGGGGACTGTGATGTAAACGGGGTGGGATGTGATGTAAAGGGTCATCTGATTCCTCTTGCATTGAATTGTATTCTTACTGTACTGTTTGCCCTCATGTTGTAAAGCACTGAGCAGACTGTTGGCACTATATAAATCCTGTATAATAGTAATGATAATATTACTGCAATATAAAGGGAGTACTGTATTGTAAAGGAAGGCTGAGGGGCTGCGCTGTAAAGAGTAGTGCTGTGATGTAAAGAGGCGGGGGGGGGGGCTATGATGTATATGGAGGGACTGTGATGCAAAGCAAGGCTGTGATGTAAAGGTTGGCACTGCAATCTAATGGGGTTGTAATTTAAAGGGGAGGATGCAAAGTAAAGGTATGTCTGTGATGTAAAAAGGGGTGCTGTAATGTAAAGGGAGCTGTAATTTATATAGAGCAAACTGAAATATAAAGGGGGGACTGTGATGTAAAGGAGGGCTGTATTGTAAAGAGTGGTGTATTGTAAAGAGGAGCACTATTATGTAAAGGGGGGCTGTGATGTAAGGTGGGCTGTGATATAAAGGGGATTACTGTGATGTAAACAGGGGCGAATGGGGGGCTCTGATGCAAAGGATTGTATAATGTGAAGGGAGTCTGTGATGTAAAAGAGGAGACTGCAATATAAAGGTCCGGGGAACTGAACAGAAGAAACATGAGATTTGGACCTCTGCTGGAAGAAGCACTGCCAGAGCCCTACAAAATGACATCCAGTAGGCCACTGGTGTAAATGTCTCTGACCAAACAATCAGAAATTGACTTCATGAGGGCGGCCTGATGGCCTGAAATCCTTTAGTGGGCCCTGTGCTTACTGCTCAGCACCATAGAGCTCGATTGACATTTGCCATTGAACACCAGAATTGACAGGTCCACCACTTGGCGCCCTGTGCTTTTTGCAGATGGGAGCAGGTTCACCCTGAGCACATGTGACAGACATGGAAGGGTCTGGAGAAGCCGTGGGGAACATTATACTGCCTGTGACATTGTTCAGCATTTTGGTGGTGGGTCAGTGATGGTCTGGGGAGGCATACCCATGGAGGGACGCACAGACCTCTACAGGCTAGACAATGGCACCCTGACTGCCAAATTAGGTATGGGGATGAAATCCTTGGACCCATTGTCAGTCCCTATGCTGGTGCAGTGGGTCCTGGTTTCCTCCTGGTACATGACAATGCCCGGCTTCATGTAACGAGAGTATGCAGGCAGTTCCTGGAGGATGAAGGAATTGATACCATTGAATGGCCCCCATGCTCACCTGACCTAAATCCAATAGGACACCTCTGGGATATCATGTTTTGGTCCATCTGATGGTGCCAGGTTGCACCTTAGACTGTCCAGGAGCTCAGTGATGCCCTTTTCCATATCTGGGAGGAAATACCCCAGGACACCATCCGTCATCTCATTAGGAGCATGCCCCGACATTGTCAGGCATGCATACAAGCACATGGGAGACATACAAACTACTGAAGACCATTTTGAGTTTCTGCAATGAAATTTCAGCAAAATGGACAAGCCTGCTGCATCATTTTTTTCACTTTGATTTTTGGGGTGTCTTTGAATTCAGTCCTCTGTAGGTTGATAATTTTCATTTCCATCAAATGATGGGGCATCCTTACCTTCCTAACACATTACCCCGTCCATATCAGTATAGAGATAGAGCAGGAGATTTGTCCCTATTGAGATCTGATGTGTTTTCAAAGTGTTCCTTTAATTTTTTTGAGCAGTGTATATATATATATATTTACAGGCAAATATCTACACAGAAAAGAACAATGGAAAAGTAACAAGAGACCTGAAATTTTACAGTCGGCATATTTCTTTAATTATAAGCGTATGTCGCTCCGGTGTCTGGAGGCATCATACATGGGGTTATCAGCAATTACAAGCTAGCTGTTAGTCGCTGTGTAATTGCATTCATTTGTCTAAATTAGAGCTCCCCGCTGACTGGCCGGGTTTATGAATTCACCAACTAGTATCATCCTAGGAATTGGGAACACGACTTGTGTAAGCAAACCCATCCAGGCAGGAGAGCCGTCTGCGGCGGTGGAGATTAGCGTTGGGCTGCGTTCTATTCCCTTAATGGATTCCGGCTTCCCCAGTTAGATGGTAATAAGGCAGCCTGGGTTAATAAATTCTTAAAATAACACTAAGAGAAAACAAAAATGTCTGTGCCTAATTGTGCGTAGTACAGGCAATGTATACTCTGGATACAATGTTTCATTGCCTCTTTGTTGAATTTGTTTGCAAATATGTGGCTTGAGATCATCTTGTTTTACCTTCTTCTCTACATTTTCATGGATCTTCATTGTGTAAAAATGTCCCTGTGGTCTGCCCTACTCATAGGTAAGGTCTTGTTTGATTGAAATGCGTTAGCATTGCTTTTCTTCTGAAACGTTTACTCTGCATTCAAATAAAGTCTCTACAGTTCATCCTCACCTTGTTGCCGGTCCTATATTATTATTACATCAAGTTTATATAGTGCCAAAGGGTTTGCTCAGCGCTGTACAATAGAGGGGGGGGGGGGGGGACAATACATGAAACAGGACAGCAACAACAAACACACGAAGGGTAAGAGGGCCCTACTCTTTCGAGCTTACAATCTAGGCGGGAGGGGGTAGTGGTACAGGAGGAAGTGGCTGTGGGGGATGGAGTGGTAGGAGGAGTGGAGGGGATCGGCTGTTAGGTGAGGGTGGGGTAGGCTTCCCTGAAGAGGTGGGTTTTCAGGGAGTGCCTGAAGGTGAGGAGGGAAGGCGACAATCTGATGGATTGGGGTAGTGAGTTCCAGAGGATGGGGGAGGACCTGGAGAAGTCTTGCAGTCGTGCGTGGGAGGAGGAGACCAGGGAGCAAGACAAAAGGAGGTCCTGAGAGGAGCGAAGGATACGGGTAGGGTG